GGAAAAGCTAAAGGAGTCTCTTCCCCCCTAACCCAGTGTTATACGAAATGCTGACCGGGTATCCTTTAAGAGGAGGAGGAGGAAAAAAGGTAAAGATCCAAATTGGGACCAACAAACATGCATCTTTCAACAAGGGAATCTAAGAATCAAGTGAATAAATATTCTGATGTCCAGAATGACCTGGTGATTATAATGATTCAGGGACATAGAAAGGGAATGGCCTGCCTTTTCTTGGGGGGAAAAGGGGAATGGGAGATGCGGGAAGAGACTGGACAAAAATCGTGCACCTATGGATGAGGACAGTGGGTGGGGAGTGAGGGCGGAGGGTGGGCCGGGAACTGGAAGGAGGGGAGTTCCGGGGGGGGGGGGGGAGAGGAACAAATGTAATCTGAACAATAAAGATTTAATTTAAAAAAAAAACATTTTTAAAAAATAAAATAAAATTACAGCCTTGGAAGTCAACTGCTAAAAAAATCCCTAAAGTTGAAGAAATGAAGAAACTGTGAGTTTAGATTGTTCACATGATGATCAAAATCACCCCAGATGAATTGGGATTTATATACTGTAAAGATATTTAATATGGGGAAAGATACATACACCTTTAAAATTTATTCAATTAACTTACCCGTAATGATTCCATGTAAGACTTATGACAATCTATATGTAATGTATGTCCACAGGTTTGTACATAAACACCTCCTTCCCAGCCAATTGATACTGCCAAGAGACAAGAACTCTTAAAAAAAGAAAGACAAAATACAATTAATTTTAAAGAAGTATAGACATATTTAAATATATCCACAGAAACCTCTGAATGATTTTTTATTTGAACTTAGCTTTCTGATTTGGTGACTAAATAGACTGTGGAGCTTTTAAACCCAGAGGAAAAGGAAGAATAACTTTGTATTTTTGTGATAAAGCAATACCAGACTTGACAGCCCGAAGGCAATCTCTTTAAACTAGAAACACCATTAAGATTTAGCTTCTAAATACCTATGCTCATATGAAAAATAATGATCAATTAGACTTTCTCCACCCCATCAAATATAAGCTCTCAATATTATACTATAGTTCAGTGTAAACTATACTGCTATTGATGATCTTAACTGTTTTATATGGTACTTAATCTGTGATTACCATTAACAACTTCCCTCTTAAAGGGTCTTCTTCCCTTTGGCTTCCATAATGAGACTCTCTTTTGGTTTTACTTCCAACCCTTTAACCATTTGGTTTAGGCTCCTTTAAGTCTCTTCTTTCTTGCCCTGCCCCTTCAAAGTTTATATTCCTCAAGATTCTATTCTTAGTGCTTACTCTCTACTCATTACAACTATTCTCCCTAAGTGATTTAATCAGTAAATTCACCTAGCCTCCAAGCTAAATCTCTTGCCTGACTGACAGATACAAATACTTAGCTGCCAACCAGAAATCTCCAGTTTGACATTCCTCAGATAACATAAAATTAATGTGTCAAAAACTTGTCATTTTCTCCATTACTCTTCCTTTTCCTCTGGGTTTAAAAGCTCCACAATCTATTTAGTCACCAAATCAGAAAGCTAAAGTTACTCTCTCTACCTCACACCCTTTCCTTCACACCACAGTTTTAATTCCCAAATCATATGAATTCTGTCTTCTAAATAACTCATGACTTGGGCCTGACTTCTTCATTCTCACTGTAACATTCAAGTCTGTACATTTGTTGGGGGGGGGGGGGGGGAGGATTTCTTATATAAAGTTTTGTAATTGGTCTTCTTGACTCCAATTTCTTCTCTCCATGATGCATCCCCCACATATCTCTCCAAAGTACAAATCTGGTCATAAGAATAACCCCAAAAAAGTGCCTTAACATTTACAAGGGTTTAATATAATGCACAATCAAGAAGGCAAACAGATTATATAAGCCAACTACACACTCGTTTGAAATTTGTTTTTAAAGTTAATTGCTTCTATCTCCTTTTTCTCTTACATCTTCAACTTCTTCTCTGCTAATTCCTTCTATTCAACCTATAAACAGGCTTAGACTTTTCCTCCTAAAATAATTTTGAGTTTTCATTTCCCCTTTGACAAATAGTACTTACTTGACAATGAATTTGAGTTCACCCCACTAGAGTCTGTAGTAAATACATGGCCAAGCCAGAGCAATATAAGATCTAACATGAGTGACAGCATATGATGAAAGCTTTGAAAGCCATAAAAACTCTTTTTATATTAGAAATTTATACATTATAATGTAAGATGACCAAATCAACTTTAACAACAGTAAAACAAAGTTCCAATATTAAATCGAGACTCTTCATGAGCATCTGAAAGTTAAAAATTACAGTGCAAAATGTCTTCGCAGCCAATTTAAATATATGTGCAGCAGCACAAATCAAATACTACTCACAGCAAGTGAGCTGGCTTCTACTGTTACAAATCAGAAAAACAACAGGAGATCTGCTCATCTCTATTTTATGATTTGCAGCCACTTGAAGTAGAAGCAGATTTTGGTATTAGATCATTTTAGAACTAGAGGCCCAGTGCATGGATTCGTGCACTGGTGGGGGTTCCTCAGCCTGGCCCTCAGGAATCGGGCTGAAACCAGCTCTCCGACATCCCCGGAGGGGTCCCAGATTGTGAGAGGGTGCAGGCCAGGCCAAAGGACCCCACCAGTGCATGATCGGGACTGGGGAGGGACTGCAGGAGGGTTCCAGGGCGTGTCCAGCCCATCTCACCCAGTCCTGATCAGGGCCGATCGGGGCCATTTGGGGCCATCTCACCCAGTCCCAATCGGGGCCAATTGGGCTGGCCGGCCGGGGAGAGACCGTGGGAGGGCTCCAGGGCATGTCCGGCCCATCTTGCCCAGTCCCAAACAGCCGGACCCAAGCAGCAAACTAACCTACTGGTCGGAGATCCTGCACCCTGGTGGTCAGTGCACATCACAGCAACTGGTCAAACAGTCGAACAGTTGGACACTTAGGATATTAGGCTTTTATTATATAGGACTAGAGGCCCAGTACACGAATTCATGCACTGGTGGGTCTAGCCAGCCCACCCTGATGGGGGCCATTGGGGGGGGCGGGGGGCCGATAGGGGGCGGGCCCGACCAGGGCGAGGGGCTGCCGGCGGGTTTGCCAACCAGGGCAAGGGGCCACCGGTGTTTTGCCAGCTGGCCCCCGCCCCCAATCGGGGTGGGCATGCCCGCTGGGGGGGGGGGGCCGCCAGGGCGAGGGGCTGCAGGTGTTCCAGTCGCTCTGCCATTCAGTCAATTTGCATATTACCCTTTTATAGAATGGTTGTTAGTTAATAAACAAGCTGCTTCTTTGACCACGTATTATAAAAATGTAATTAACCCTTTCCGGTCCAATGTTATTTTTAGAATTCAAACAGTCTGGTCCAAATTAATTGACAGGACTGAATGTTGAACTTTTTAATGTTCTTATTGCTTGACATTGGACCTGCTCCTAGCACCTGGTTTGTCGAGTCAGCCTCGAGGTTGGACCGAAAAGGGTTAATCTTCCTTTTTAATAAAAGCAGTTAGCTGAAAATACTAAGTCATTTGTTAATGTAACTGTTAGATGTCTTATTTGAATTTGCTATAGTGTGGAAAAAGAGCAGGAAAACATTTACTAATATGAGATTAATATTTTAGGAAGACTTCAATAATGTGTCCACCACTGTGCTAAGTGCTTATCATTCAATTTTTACGACCTCAATATTTATTAAAACCTCCCACAGTAATTGGTAGTATCTTTTTACAAATAAGGTATACAAACGTTCTAAGATCACTCAGTTATAAATGGTAGTAGACACATACTCATTCTACACTAGACAAGACCTCCCTAACTAGAGCCATCTGCTTCTCCAGAATCCACCAGAAACCTTCTCCTCAGACCAGACCAGTATTATAGTTAATAGTATTAAATTTGTATACCTCCCAATAAATAACATTTAAAACAAAGATATAACATTTATAACCTAAAATATTTACTTATTAACAGATTTCCATTTCTTTACTATTCACATATTAATTTTTTCTAATAAAGTTCCAGATTCTAAATCAGAATGACATCTGTTAGAAAAATATACATAAAACTCTGGAGTGAAATTACTATGAATTTTGCAGACAAATATACTAGTAGATAAAAAGGGTACTCACATCTTTAAAATAACGCTGTAATAATGAAAGCCTCACATCATGAACTGCTGCACATGTATCCCAAGGATAAATCTGTTCCTCTTCAGTGATAGGCAACTTTTTTGGCTCAGTGTTGTCACGGCACTGCCCCAAAACTATATTAACAACAGAGATAAGAGCTCATTAAATAACCAATATATAGACCTGATTCACCATAAGAGCCAAGTTATTTACAACCAGCTGACTAATGTTTGCACTTATTAGACCCTAAAAAAAAGTGATATTCTAGTGTTCTTCTAGAGAGTAAATAAAACTCCAAAGATGCCAATATTTAATTTTCAAATTAACAGTAAAATATGGGTGTTTACTCGGGATGGATGAATGGACTAATGGATTGATCGAAGGATCAATAGATGAATGGATTAATGGAGGATGGTTTCCAAAGTCTGTCCATTGAAAAAGTCTAGAAATTATGACACTCCAGTAACAAATAAACTTTATTTCTAAATACACTATCTCTCATGAAAAGGAAACAGAGACCCTCGGAGAAAAACCTGAGTCCAAGATTGGGAAAAAGTTCAAGAAAAATCTGGAATTTTGTATAATAAAGAGCAAGGGGTAGCCCTGGCTGAGCAGCTCAGTTGGCTGGAGTGTCATCCCGTACACCAAAAGATTGCAAGTTAGATTCCCAGTCAGGGCACATACCTAAGTTGTGGGTTTAATCCCTGATCGGGGCACATACGTGAGGTAAATAACTGATGTTTCTCTCTCTCTCTCTCTCTCTCTCTCTCTCTCTCTCTCAAATCAATGAAAACATATCCTCAGGTGAGGATTAAAAAAAAAAAAAAAGATCGAGGGGTAATTCAAACACTGAGGGGGCAGTTATGAGGATCTAAAGGAGTTCTGACTGGTCAAATTTGAGAAAATTTAAGTACTAAAAAGAATAATAATGGAAACAGATAACACATTCATTGATTCAGACGAGGAATCAAGTAAAAGGGTAAATTACTAGAGGCTCATCATATAAATTACCTACCACCTTAACCAAGTGATCAAACTTCACTGGCATCACCAATAATAGGACAAGCTGTCACTATGAGCCTCATTCTACAGAACTGACTTAGACTCATCAAAACTTTTTAAAGGTCTGGAGAAACTGTCCTAGATTAAAGGAGACTAACAGGAAATGACAATGAAATGCAATGCATAATCTTGGCTCTTGGATCAAGAAAAAGACTTTGCTCTAAAAATATTACTGGGATATTTGAGAGAATTTTAACATAGAATATTAGATGTTATTAATAACAAATTTCTTGGATATGATTATACTGTAGTTATAGTAAAAATATCCTTGTTCTTAGGAGATACTGTCTGAAGTATTTAGGAATAAAATGTCATGATGTCTGCCATTTTCTTCTGAAGAGAGAGAGAGAGAAAAGAGAGTAAATAAGAGAGGGGGAAGAAGACAATATTGGTGAGTGTACGTAAAAGGTATCCAACTTTTCTGAAGATATAAAACTTTTCAAAATGAAAACTTGGGAAGAGGTATATGGCAAAAGGAGAAAAACAATACTAGGATTTTATAATTGTAAAAGCACAAGAAAGGGGAGTAGGGATAAAAACATACAGTGCCATACATTATTATAAGACTGATAAGCATGGGAAGAGCCATTCTTAGGGAAGGTAAATTAGCCATAACACTCACTGTGGGCCCCAAGTTTTGAAGAGTAGTGGCAAAAAGAAGAGACAGAAGCAAGTAAATGCTAACAACTAAAATATAGTTATCCATGATGTATGCACTTCTGTATTGGTTTCCTAAGATTTTCATTTATCTCTGCTCTAGTCTTTATTTCTTCCTATCTGCTAGCTTTGCAGTCAACTTGTTCCTAAAGTGTAAAGTTACGTTACTGATTTGAGATCTTCTTTTTTTGAGGGAAGCGTTTGCAGCTATAAATTTCCCTCTGTGCACTGTTTTCACCGCCCACATAAGTTTTGGTATGTTGTGTTTCCATTTTAATTTGTTTCACAGGACCTTCTAATTCTTCTTTGGCCCATTGGTTGTTTAAGAATGTGTTATTTACACATATTTGTGAATTTTCCAATTTTCCTGCTGTTATTGATTTCTAGTTTCATTCCATGTGGTCAGAGGTGATACTTTGGATGATTTCAGTCTTTTTAAATGTATTGAGACTTTTTAATGGCTAAATGGTCTATCTTGGAGAATGTTCCATGTACAATTGAGAAAACTGTATTCTACTATTGTTAGAAAGAGTATTCAAGGGTTTTTTTAGGTTTAATTGTTTTATAGTGTTGCTTAGTGTTTTATTTCTTTTTTTGATAGTCTGTCTAGCTGTTCTATAAATTATTGAAAATGGGAGATTAAAGTCTCCAACCATCATTATAAAACCACTAGTGGCCTTGTGCACAGATTCGTGCACATTGAAAGGAAATTAATTAGAAGAAATATTTTAGTATCGCTATTCGCCCTTTCTTTATAATAGAAGTGTCAACCAAATTCACAATAGACAATGACAGATCGAAACACACATGTGTGACTGGCGCCAGTGAGAGCTTTATATGTATTGCGCATGCACGAGTCAACTTAGCTTTTTATATATATATAGAATAAACTTGCTTAATTAGACCTGCTTTCTGATGTAGCTAAACCTTTTCCAGCCCAGTGAAGCACCCCAACTTCTCTTTCAGGTAATGGTCAGCAACACAGCAGTAAATATCAACATGAAGCAGATTATTATTGTAGATCACTCAGGGAGAACAAAGGGTAAAATATTTAACTGCAGCAGTGTTTGACTATATTCTGTGCAGTGAGAAAACCTAAAGTCATTTCAAGATCCATAATTTCTTACTTCTTTTCAGTCAGGTCAAGTTTCTAAACTTTCTAAATCTCCATTTTCCGGCTAATGAAAAGAAAATAGGATTCTAACAAATCTCCTATCTACCTACTCCAGGACTTCTTTGAGGATCAAATGAGATGAGGCATGGAAAAATGCTTCACAAACATTTGGTTAAAGTGTAAAATATTTGCACCTGGCTATAAAGCAAGTCATGTTCCTGGGCTGAAGAAACTGCAAGGAGGCAAGTTGCTAGGGAGAGGAAGTTGGGCATTGCTACGTGATGTCATTACCCGGCATCCACAGCCACCGTTTCCAGGCTGGGCTGGACTGTGGGCTGCATTTTACACCATGGAGTCCCAGCAGCATTGGCTGTGATTTGGTGGACTATTGCTCCAGGATGGTGGCAGGGCCGATGTCCTACTTGGGGGAAGCTGAGTGTTGCTTTGTCAGCACCAGGACCGTGCTGCCATGTCTCTGTAAATGGCCAGTGTGTGTCTCGGCAGCTCCTGCATTGAGTGTCTGCCCCCTGGTGGTCAGTGTGTGTCATAGCGACTGGTCGAACGGTGGGAGAGAAACAGCATATTAGCCTTTTATATATAGAGATTTCTCCCTCTAATTCTATATTTGCTTTATATATTTTGAGCCTCTGCTATTTGATGTGTATATACTTATAAATGTTATATCTTCTAACCCTAATCATAACCCTACCTCAAAATACTTCAGTAAGGGAGAGAATAGAGAGCATTCAGACAAATCCTTAAAAAAAACAACAAAATTTGTTTTAACTATAGATTGGCAAACATATCTGTCAGCTGACTGTTTCAAGGATGACACCTTCTAGTAGCTCAAGATATAAGGGCAAAGCTACCTGAATATGCCTTATGCAATTAAAATAATTAAGCTGACAGCCCTGGACAGTGTGGTTCAGTTGGTTGGAGCATCATCCCGTGCATCAGAAGGTCAAGGATTTGATTCCCAGTTGGGGTGCAAATGGGAGGCAGCCGATTGATGTATCTCTTACATCAGTGTTTCTGTCCCTCACTCTCTTTCTTTTTCTCTCTTCTCCTTCCTTCCTCTCTTAAAAAAATCAATATTTAATTTGACAATATTTTTGGTGTTAAAATTCTTCCAGATTTTAGAATAATTAAATTGCCAAAAACACTAAACTCAACTAATGGCCACCTAGCATTGGTAATACACCACATCATTTTAAGGAAAAAGACTGTAACATATAAAGAGATCTCTCAGTTAAAAAGTTCTTCCAACACTCATGTCCAGCAAGGTCAGATAAAACCAGGTTAAGAATCTTTGCTATACAATTCTCAATCAACCATTGCTATGTAGACCTATAGTTATATCTAGACAAATATATAACTTCCATTCAATACAGATATTTATTAAGTATATACAGATATTGTATATACTTTATCTCTAAAATGTCCCCACTGAAAAAGTACTTTAATTTTACCTGAGGATGCTTGTAACAGAACAACCAATCCTGTAGGTCGGTCTTCAGAGGAGGGGCCACTCTGCCCACAAATAACACAATCATATACTGCCTCAGAAACTTGTGGTTCTGCTGTGGTGATCTCCATAGGAATATCATTCTCAGGAGAATCTGAGAAGAAAAATCTCTCTTCAATGAAAATGTGGGAAAAAACTTAGTTGAAATAATAAAATTATGGAAAAATACCTTGCTAAAATAAAATGTTTACTAAGAAAAAGACAAAATATTCAAAGAGTTGATATAATGAAAGACTTTACATAATATGTGGTTAAATACTTCTGATAGTGTATCATTCACAAACAAAATTGAAAGGAAAAACACAGAGGCAAAGACATTTGTATTAAAAACACCTTTAAGATATAATTTAAGAAAACTGTTTTAATTTTCTTTGAGGCACCTCAGAAGGAAAATTTATGACATCTCAGCTCTTGGAAAAAAATGGCAATATTTACTAGGAGATAAAAGAGAAACAAACTATTCCTCCTTTATTTTAAATTCTAGTGATTATATCTTGGCATTAATAATTATTGATATGCTTATTTATGTACGGAAATCATTTATATATGACCATACATATTAATAAAGCAAAACTACTATAAAAAAATAACAGTAACCCTTTGGTGATATGATGTTAACAGCAAGAAATAAAATACTGATTATAATTTTCCAATAAAGACTCTTAAATTCACAAAGATCAGTGATATTGGCAAAAAACGAGTAGAAGGGATTGGGAAGACTAGGAAAGCAGAAGTGATTTATGACTTCTTTAAAAGATGAAGGCATATCTAAATAAAGATGTAAAAATGCATGACAGAAATAGAAAAAGAAAAATATCAAGTTCAGATAGGTTTAATAAGAATTCATGCAGATAAACATGTATCTAATAGTTATTGAAAGTAACTGAGAAGGGCCAAAATAAAGCTTTGAATAATGCCCAGTATTAATGAAAAATAAAAAAGAAGCCAATAAAGAAATCAGAGAAAAAAACAATAATACATAAATAGAACAAAAATGGCAGCATAGTTAAACACTGGTACTCACCGCCTCCCACAACCACATCAAAATTACAACTAAAATATAGAACAACTATCATTCAGAACCTCCTGACATCTGGCTGAATGGAAGTCCTACAACTGGAGAAGTAAAGAAGAAAGCACATTGAGACTAGTGGGAGGGGCAGAGGCACAGAATGGGCTAGTCCGACAACCACACATGGTGTTTCTTTACTCGGAGGGAAATCTCCAAGGCTTGCTGCGAGAAGCAGGGGTCCTGACCCCACACCAGACCCCCAGCCCAGGTTCCAGAGCTGGGAAGAAAAGTCCCCATAACTTTGGGCTGTAAAAGCCAGCGATGATTGTGGTTAAGTGACATGGAGGCTGTTGGAGTTCCAGGTGTTCCTCTTGAAAGGCCCGTGCACAAACTTCATGGTCCCACTTCCTCTGAGCTCCAGCACTGGGCAGCAGTGTTGGGGGAATCCAGGAACATACAGGGAAGAACTGGACTGTTTGTCATCAGGGCAGGAACCCAGGGATGGTTTTCTCCCAGACAGGGGTGCTCACAGGGGTCAATGTTCCTGTGCTTAGATCTCCACAGTCACAGAGCTAACTGGCAGCCATATCTGAGTTTTCATCAGTATGGTCCACACTGTTCCCTCCACCCTGGTGATTCCCTGAGACCTTGTCCCATCCAATTGCGGCCCCACTCAAGCTGTTTGCAGCTATTTTTCCATATGAATGGCCTGTCCTGGCTCAGGCTTCAGACTTTCCTAAACAAGCAGCAACTGGCCCCAGTGTGCCCCAAACCTAATCAATACCGGGCTCTAGTACCAGTCTGCCTTGCTTCACAACTGGGCTTTGCCTGGGCACTTTTTAGCGCAATACCAGTAGCACCCATCTGCAGAGATCTTTGTAGCTCCTGTTGGGTGGCCCCAGAGTCAGTGCACCCGGTAGACAGCTTCAGAACATACCAGATTACAACTCGACACATCCACAAGCGACACACTCAAGGGGCAGACTCAGTGAGACCCAAAGCCCCACTGAAGCAAGTCCTGCTCCATAGGGGTGTCTCCTGCACAGCAGCTCTTCCATTGTAGATACAGTTGGTCTTCACAGCCAACTGACCTGGAGGTCATCCCTCCCAGTGATGCCAAAAGCAATCAAGCCACAACTACAACATCAACATCATTAAAATGTCCAAACTACCCAAAGCAATCTATAAATTCAACGCACTTCCCATTAAAATACCAACAGCATATTTCACAGACCTAGAATGAACTCTCCAAAAATTCATCTGGAATAAAAAAAGACCCCGAACAGCTGCAGTGATCCTGAAAAAGAAGAACAGAGTAGGTGGGATCTCAATGCCAGATATCGAGCTATATTACAAAGCCACTGTTCTCAAAACTGCCTGGTACTGGCACAAGAACAGACATATAGATCAATGGAATAGTATAGAGAGTCCAGAAATCGACCCGAACCAATATGCTCAATTCATATTTGACAAAGGAGGCAAGAACATACAATGGAGTCAAGACAGTCTCTTCAATAAATGGTGCTGGGAAAATTGGACAGATACATGCAAAAAAATGAAACTAGACCACCAACTTACACCATACACAAAAATAAATTCAAAATGGATAAAGGACTTAAATGTAAGACGGGAAACCATAAAAATACTAGAGGAATCCAAAGGCAACAAAATATCAGACATATGCCAAAGCAATTTCTTCACCGATACATCTCCTAGGGCATTGGAAACTAAAAAGAAAATAAACAAATGGGACTACATCAAAATAAAAAGCTTCTGCACAGCAAAAGAAACCATCAACAAAACAATAAGAAAGCCCACTGCATGGGAAAATATATTTGCCAATGTTATCACTGATAAGGGTTTAATCTCCAACATTTATAGGGAACTCATACAACTTAACAAAAGGAAGATAAATAATCCAATCAAAAAATGGGCAAAGGACCTAAATAGACATTTTTCAAAAGAGGACATTCAGAAAGCCAAGAGACATATGAAAACAAGCTCAAAGTCACTAATCATCCAAGAGATGCAAATCAAAACAACAATGAGGTACTATCTCACACCTACCAGAATGGCCATCATCAACAAATAAACAAACGACAAGTGCTGGAGAGGATACGGAGAAAAAGGAACCCTCATGCACTGCTGGTGGGAATGCAGACTGGTGCAGCCACTATGGAAGACAGTATGGAGTTTCCTCAAAAAGTTAAAAATGGAACTCCCATTTGACCCATTGATCCCACTTCTAGGAATATATCCCAAGAAACCAGAAACACCAATCAGAAAGGATATATGCATCCCTATGTTCATAGCAGCACAATTTACCATAGCTAAGATTTGGAAACAACCTAAGTGCCCATCAACGGATGAATGGATTAGAAAACTGTGGTACATATACACAATGGAATACTACGCTGCTGTAAAAAAGAAGGAATTCTTACCATTTGCAACAGCATGGATGGAACTGGAGAGCATTATGCTAAGTGAAATAAGCCAGTCAGTGAAAGAAAAATACCACATGATCTCACTCATTTATGGATAATAAAGACCATTATAAACTGATGAACAAAAATAGATACAGAGGCAGAGCAGCATAAAACAGACTGTCAAACTACAGTAGGAAGGCTGAGGAGGGTTGTGGGGGTAAGAGATCAACCAAAGGACTTGTATGCATGCATATAAGCATAACCAATGGATACAAGACACTGGGGTGTAGGGGAAGCTGGGGGAAGGTTGGGGGGGGGGAGATAAATGTACTAATTGTTGTAATATTTTAAGCAATAAAAAAAAAATCAGACAAAAAAAAAAAAAAAAAGACTGTGCACACAATCCACACAGGAGTGCACCTAGAGTACCCAGCTCAGGTAACGAGGGAGGCTGAGCCACTGGGCCCTGCAGGACACCTATTACACAACGCCACTTTACCAATTCCAGGAGACATAACAACTCTACCTAATACACAGAAACAAACACAGGGAAGCAGGTAAAATGTGGAAACAAAGAAACATGTTACAAATGAAAGAAATGGAAGCAAGCAAAAATACTGGATACAGACTTCAAAACAATGGTTATAAGGTCATTCAAGGATCTTAAAGAGAGCAACAAGGGACTTAGTGAGACTTTTAAGGATCTTAGTGAGAATGTCAAAGACATGAAAAAGGACCAGTCAGAAATTAAGCATACTAAGCTAACTGAAATAATGAATAATTTACAGGGATTCAACACAGACATCTGCCTTGCCTGGGGGGAAGGCAGTCCACACACCCTATTGGAAAACACCTTGCCCTGAGGCCACTTAAGAGATTAAAAGTAACAATTAGCCTCCAGGCAGAAGCAACCACCCTACCCAGTTGAAAAAACTCTCACCACACCAGAGGACAATTGCCTGGGGGCAATTCAATTCAGAATCCTATTAGTCTGTAGACAGAGGCTGTCTCTGGAGGCTTTGAGTCTTTGCCTGATCCAATTTGTCAGAAATAGCCTTTAACACTGTCCTGCACTAGAGATTGAGAGGTATAGAGGATCTACCTAAATCATAGTCACAAACCCAAATAGACAACCAAAATGAGGAAACAAAAAAACAACCTCCAAATGAAAGAACTAGGGAATTCTCCAGAAAAAGAGATAAATGAGCAAAGATAAGAAATTTATCTGAAACAGAGTTCAGAGTAATGATGTTAAAAATGCTCAACAGCATGAAAAAAGATATAGTAACTATGAAAAAAGAACAGTCTGAGATAAAGAATGACACAACACAAATAAAGAACACACTGGAAGGAATACACAGCAGATTAGGGGAAGCTAAGGATCAAATCAGTGAATATGAAGACAGAGTAGAAAATATCACTCAATTAGAGAAGCAAAAAGAAAAAACAATTAAAAAACAGGAGGACAGCTTAAGGGAGCTGTGGGACAATGTGAAACATAACAATATTAGAATAGTATGTGTGCCAAAAGAGGCAGAAAGGGAGAAAGGAATAGAGAAGGTGTTTGAAGAAATAATGGTAGAAAACTTCCCTAACCTGGTAAAGGTAAAAGTCACACAAGTTCAGGAGGCACAGAGAAATCCAAACAAGAAGAACCCAAATAGACCCACGCCC